TTTATTTTCATAATTGCCCTAATTACTTTTCAGTTCTTTCTGTGTTACGAACCTAGTTGTGATACACTTCGTGACCATCATTTTATATCTTCATATTTTGTAGCATATCTCAGCTTATTTTTTTTCTTGAATATTTATATATAATTTACAAATACTAACCTATTTAATACCTTAATCTAGGGAAAAAAAAAACCCACTAAGGATAACAGGTAAATTACTGGTACTAAGGTTAGCCATGAATTAGCTTATAATTATTTTACTTGTAATGTTGTTTGATAATAGTTTTAATTTAAAATAATATAAAAGTCATATAATGTTTAAAATTTATTTTGTATTTTAATTTATAATGTAGAGTTGGTATAGTTAAGTAGTTGTTTTGTTTATATATGGTTTTTCTTCTTAAAGTGTCTTTTATTTACGTACTATGTTTAATTTTGTTTGAACGTGATTTCAGTCAAAATGCCGTAAAATTTAAAATGCTACATTGTATCTGTAATATGTTGCTATCTCGTCGCATTATATTTACGTTCAATTTTGAATTCTCCATCTTAACGTGTCCCCATTGGCTAAAACTGGTATCAACTTCTCATATCTTATTTTCTTCTCTTTCCTTTTCGTTTGTATGTGTAAAATTTGGATATACTTCTTCCCTTTTTTGTCCTTTCTTTTCTTTCACTTCTCTTAGTAGTAGATTTCTTATGCTTTCTTTTCTTTCCTCTTTCATTTTATTGATTTCTTATTTTCTTTTCTTTTATGGAATGAATACATTTTTTATATATTTGTTTCTTTGCCTTGTACAGAAAATTTTCAAAAACATTTAAAAAAGTGAAAAAAAAATTCATAAATTGTATTTTTATCCTTCCTTGTTTATTACCACCATCATTAATCACTTGATGAGACGTCAAAAACAAATATGCATTTTTGTTGTAACTTGCATGTTCCAATATATATATATATATATATATATATATATATATATAATATATATATATTTATAAATTTACTAATTTAAAAATATGGTTCCATCGCTACACAGGAATTACCATGTTTCAAAAACAGAAACTAAAAACTTCAAATACAATTAAAGTCCCTAGTCCTCTTTCATTTTCAAGCGAATTTTGGAATAACTTATTTTGAAATTTGCTGAGTTTTATAAGCATACATAAACATACATTCTTAATATTAGTTTCTAAGGATATGGGGAAATTCAATCATTTTAACAAGGGGTGGTATGGTATTCATTTTCACTGACAACTATTGTATCAAAATATGAGTTACTTTTGAAAAGAGGTTAAGTTAAGGTAGGGTAGAGGTGCCTTTTCCAAAGAATGATGACATCTGTTCAACTCATGTCGTCTGGTCTCTATCAACTACAAAAAGTTTTTCGGCACTTTTGTTTCGCCATTGAATTTGTACTTGTATACATAAAGATTTTTTCTAAAAGGGTTCTTTGTATATGAATACATCATATTGAACTACAGTTTTAAAATATTATTCTTAATTTTAATTACTAATAGACTATACTTCTTTTAAAACAAATAAATGTAATAGAATTACTTAAATTATTCAAAAAATATCAAATATAAATATGTATATTTCATTTATCAGTTATTTTTTTTAAACATTATTTAAGGAAAATTTTTTGACAATGTCAGCAAAGAGTAGCTATTTCATTTCTTTGATTAAGTAAATTTTTATTTTTATAAACCTAATAATATATAGTTTCTCATGTATGCACAAAGAACATGGGTCATTTAATGACCTACATATTCTAACTTTTCTTATTTATTTCCAGTAGGTGTTTTATTGGTTTCTTTTAAAGGCCAGAAATATTTCGATAGGGATGTCTGATTTCAGTATTTATTAATCCTAAAAGAACTTTGATGTTGGTTGAACCGCTTTTTGAACTCATATCTTATGCATCCAATGTAGACTTTTATGTTGTCTGGATCCTTTTTTAAGTTCAGGCATTTAAATTCTGTACACTAATGCAATTTGATATTGAAAATTACTATCAATCAATATCAAAAGAACTGTTCATGAATGACTTTGCTACCCAGTACATGGATGTAATAGAAGAAGAAAAGAGCATTATTATAAATGCAAAAAAAATCAGTACTAATACATAAGGGGAAGCAATGGATAAAAAATTCAACCAACATCAAAGTTCTTCTTTGCAGATAATTGCTTCATAATTGGCTTGAAGTCACTGGTCTTCAGGATGTCATTTTCCCTATATGGAGTAAAAGCTAGTTCAAACACTGCTGTCTCATTTTGCTATGAAGCTGATTTTTTATAAGTTTCAATCTTGAAGATGAACATTCTCCTGCATAATTGGTCACCATCATACTTATGAACACTTAGTGCAATTTCAACATTAGGAAAAACAGATTTCAAGTTGTCCAAAATTATTTTTCTGTACAATGCAAGGAGAGTCTCACAATTTTCATCAAGAACCATGTAGTGCTTCAGGTGCTCACATTTAAAGTCACCATAATCAAGTTCTTTGGGATACACATTAGCCAGATGTTCACACTTCTTATTTAGCCCATCAGAATCAATTGTTTTCAATTCACTGAAGGAAATCAGTGAATAAGCTTCTGCATGTTTTGTCAGTACAGAAATTAAGTAAATATTTTTATTCATAGATTATAGGAGAAAAGAAAGAAGAATATTGACTTAGGTTAAGTTGGCATATCTCTTTGGATAATAGCATTTGGTTGGAATAATAATGTTGCTGAGCTGGTATTTTTGAATTGACTGAGTAGAACTTGTTGCAAAATCCTGTAATTATCTGTTTTTAACAAATACAAGCTTAAAGGCATTTTAATTTATAAAACACCAACATCAATTGTTTTAAAATTCTCTTAATATCTGTTTTCTACTATATTTGCAAATTTCTAATCTTAATTTAGATTTAACTTTTACCAGTTTGTCCTGGATCCTGCTGTTTTATATATATATATATATATATATATATATATATATATAATTAACTAAAATACTAAGGGACTTTGGATTATTTACCTAACCAGTTCCTTCCTATTTTCTATATATTTTCACATATATATATATATATATATATATAATAAATCAAGAAAAACCTTAAAGATCCATTTTGGTCATAATTTATTTTGTGAATATTTTTATATATTCATCTCAACAGACCGAAAGTTCTTAATATATTATTAATTTATATGATAATGCTCTGTAATTTAAATTTACATTGAGCTCTCTTTGGATTAATATCCTCCTTGGAATTATCCTTACCAGTCACAAATTGGTTATATATATATATACATAAGCACACACATGAAAGGAAAACATGCCACCTTGATAAAGTTCATTGAAAAACTTTATCAAGGCAAGTGTAGAATTGCATTTAGCAACCAATATTTATACACAAAATTAACACGGAGAAAAAATAACGTTAAGCATTCAATTTTTTTTTATTAGAGAATGCTCTAAAATATTATTATGCATAAAGAAAAACTATGAAGATGTAAGTTTTTTGGCCTATCAAACAAAAAAAAACTGAATTAATATTGTTGTTATTGATTTTTACGCAATTATTTTTAAGTATTTTTATTTTAGTTAGTTTATGTATAATTATTTTTTACATTCATGAGTTAACCCTTTTAATTTAAAAAAAATTTGTGGTCAACAATGAGAAAACAGCATTTCTTTTGAGAAAAGATATTTTTAAAAATTCGAGGTGGAAACAATTATTATACTTTCAAGAACTTTTCATGTTAGTAAATTATTTTCTCTCTTAAGTACAGCATCTTTGAGATCACAATATTGTGGTTGAATGTATTTCTCTGCTGTGTAATGCATTATTTGAGTGAGTAATTATGTAAGAGATCTTTATGTTCGTAAATACATTTTTTATTTCTGCAAATTTCACCGATTGTGTAACAGCTGTTATCTTATTTCCGCCACAATATATGACAATTTTGTGAAAATATTTTTTGGGGGTCAGTTTCACCTAATTTTACCCAAATAACGTGACAGAAATATATATTTTATAATTTTATTTTTGGAAGTTTTTAAAATCGGTAATTTTGTTTTGTTTACAAATTTCTTAAATTTTATGGCCGCTTTTAAGAAAAAATTTTAAAAAATCGAGCAAAAATTTGACATTTCAATCTATGGAATTTCTATCTGAAATACACCAGAATATTTTATTTTAATCATTTAGCTTTCAATTAAAAAGAGCGCATTTCTTTAATAAAATTTCTCGAATATTCAGGTGAGTAGACGAAAATATACTCAAACAGCAAACTCAACTCATCAATAGTTCAATACTGTTTAAGTTTTTTTTTAATAAACTGACCGTCTACTCAAATACGAATATCCACTCTAAAAATAACAAAAGTGAAAATCTGTCGGATTAAGAAATAAAGAATCCTTCTCTTTTCTGCGAAAATCTCAAACAAAAGCAAACAAAACTGACGTGTGCAATTTGAAATTGATAATCATTTTTTTTTTATCAAATCTCTTCTTACGTGTGCCATATTTGAATTTTTCTTTTATATTCACTAAGTTATTCGAGGTTTAGCGTCCTTTACTTGTAGATTTTAGGCGGAGGCCCTTATTTACGCAGATACCCGTCCGGCCTCCCATTTGATTTGAATTAGGCAGGATGTGACACGAGGTAATTTTAATGTGGAAAGCACGATACACATATGTGCCAAGGACAAAAAAAAAACAAAAATGTTTGCCCAGTATACGCGACCAGTAGTCATGGTGGCATCAATAAGCCTGCCTCTCTTACTGCAATGATGAGGAAAGTGCTGCCACACGGTTGGAATCCCCGGCACTGGGCGCCTTCTCCCATCTAAAATGAGGAGAAACGTTTATTCCACTTCCGGTCAAAACTTAAATCCTGTGCCAGCACGCAGAAATTTCCAGTGTTTCACCACACCCACATAAACTTCAGAGAACTGTAACTCAGAACGAGGCTTTTCGGCGTGTTAGTCGGTTATACACATTCAAATATGGAATCATCCCCGCTCGTTTCTTCAGCTTCTAGTGATTCGCTTTCCTCGAACAGCGACATCATCAAAGTTGGCACGAGAAAAAGTCAGGTAATTTTATTTTATCTATCATTTATTTACGCATGCTAGCACCGAACTTTTGTAGTAGTTTGTGCGTAAATTGCAAGAATAATTAATTTTTTGTTTTTATTTTAGTTTATTTTCTAAGTAATTGGCAGCAATTTATTAATAAATCATAAATCGAAATTGATTTCTTTCTTTTGACTTTATTGATACTTTTCTTTACCTAGTCAACGGCAACATGAAAACGTGTGCTTTGTAGGAAAAGGTAATTTAAAAATTTCTTAAATTAACGAAATTTCGAGATTTTTAAAGTGATTTCCTTTGCGAAGGTAATTTACCTTTAGTTTATTTTTATTTTTGTTTTAATCACGCTTCAATTTTTTGTGGCTCATTCATTATCCATAAAGTTAACTGTCCCTTATAGTTTGCTTTGCTCACACAAACCAAAATCATAATGTTGTTGCTAGGTATTTAACTTAAAGCGTGAGAAATAGCGAAGGATTAAAAGAATGGTCACAAACAAAACAAATCAAATGTTAAATTCATAATGTATAATTTAATCCTTTGGTTAGATCACTTTTTTGTTTCTTTTTAAACAATAGCATTCTTTAACAATCTTTTCGATAATGTTTCTTTGTTATTTGAAAATGATGCAGCTTGGTATTTTTTTTTTTTTTTTTTTTTTTTTAAGGAACAAATTCATTTGAAAGCGAAGTACGTTTTTTTAACGACTTTGCTTATGAGTCTTTTATTCTTATTGAGAGACGGAACCTAGGGGTGATTTTCAGTTCATGACCCGCGCTCAATTTGTAATAAAAAAATTCCGAATAGTTGTAAATGTACATGCTTATTTCGAAAATAACAAAGAAATTTTGATAAAATGTACGGTTTTTGAGTTATTGACACTAAAAGTTCGGACTCATTTGCGTCGCGGCTACAGCACGGCAGCCATTACTGTCGTTAACTCGAATTTTCGAATTAAGCATTGCACATGGAAAAGCCCAGGGGTTGAACAAAAAACAAATCGACTACACAACTGTCAACAAGAGATTCAGGAATGTAGTTTTACACTGCAAAACATATCCAAGTGCTGGTTGTGGAAGAGATCACCTTCCAGTGATATGTAAACTTAGAGTTGATGGCCTAAGACAGCACTCAAATGCAATACTTTTTTGAATGACCTGAATTTGAAGAAGTATAGAGTAGATAGACAGTGTGAAAAGCAGATACAAGGGACAAAGGTACCTTCGTTTATTTCGCGAAAATCTAATATAGCATGACAAGAACGGTCTGAAAATTAACGAAAAAAAAATTTTTTCATGATAAAAGTATATTTCATTATTGAGAAGAAACACTAAAGTATTTTTTTTGAGTAATTTTTGAAATTTTTACTCATTCTTAGCATGTCCGAAATTTTAGTTAAAAAAACTTGTTTACAGAAAAAACGAAAAAAGCTCATCAGCCATATTTTTTAAAATTTTAAAAATAAGTTAAATTCTTCGTTTAAAATTCGTTTAAAAATTAATTATATGTATTTCAATATTTATTCGAAGAAATTTAGAAAATTTGAAGTTTATTTAAAATATTTTGAAAGAAACTTTTACTTACTTTCTTCGTAGAAAAATGTTTTTAAAGATAAAAGAGCCGATCTTCACGTTGCCGTTGATTGACAGTGCCAAGTGATGACATCTATAAATTATTGACAGCTGACGTGAGATTCGAGTTCCCATACGGAAGCACAGAATGGACATATTATTTTTTTTAAGCGGACCTACTTAAGTAGTAACTTGTAATATTTAAAGTAAAAAAACTTTCGCCATTACAATTTTTTTTTGTTAACTACTATGTACCATAAGTTTGTTGATATTATCTGGAGAAATTATAAATACTATTAAAAAAAATTAAAATACAAGTGCTGCACTGCTGTTTGAGGGCCCATATAGACCCCTCTAAAGTCAATTCAGATTTGCTATTATAAAAAAAAATTCTATCCCCAGTAAAAATAATCAAACATAGTAAAAGTCATTTTGTCACAGCCTATATTCTCGGAAAAAATAAATAAATGGATTTTTATATTTTTACGTAAAAAAAAATTACTTATCTGGAAAAATACCAGGGAAAGTTTATCTGAATCCCATGAAACTAGGTATTTTCTGAAAGCAAACATTGTTTCATTTAAAAGTAAAATTGGCCAGTGTAAATGACTGAAAAGTTTAGTTTTCTAGAGGCAAAATGTGAATCTTACTTATTATAAAACCCAGGTTGTGTGTATTACGTTTATTGGATCGAATTTCCTACATTTTTCAACCAATTTCAACCAAACATTACAGGACTACGATGAAAACTAGATGAAAGTACCTATTTTAACTTAATGAAAATGATGCACACGTGTTTCAGTAGGAACAGTTTGCTAAATTAAGGGGCCGTATACAGCGAAGAACAACCCTTAATAGACAGAAACTCAATCCACGTGACGTTATTGCACGTACCAAACTTCCGGTCTTCCGTAGATTTCATTGGTAAACACATTATTGACAAATTATTTTTTTTTAAGATACGAAGACTCATTAGTTTGTAATAAGCTTTGGAAATTATAATCTGTAAATATATATCTACTTAAAAACAACATCCGTTAAGCTGTACACGCTTTTCCATAATTTTAGAAGAATTAACAACATAATGTAAAAATAAAAACAATGGTTGCAGAAATAAAAAATAATTGTAGGTAATTGTTTTAAAAATTCATTTTTCATCGAAATATCTTTTTGCTTTCAGACAATATTGTCCATGTTTATTGGAATAAATAAAAGCTTTTGAAATTAAATAATATTTTTGTTTTATTGAGTTTTTGTATGTTACACTTCAGAGACGATTTTCAGGTAGAAGGACTCCAACTAAAAAAAAACAAAAACATGATTTTGTTTCCTCAAAGCATTGCTTTTAACTGATATAATCACTAAACTCCTAAGAATTGAAATTATAGAGTTTTCGTACAATTAGTTAGAGTGGCTAAATACATATGAAAAAAAAAAAATTCTGCGATGACTTTACTAAAAAAAAATGTATTTATAATAAGTTCCATCATTTGTAAATAGTTACTGAAAATTTCATTAAAATCCGACAATTATTTTCATTTTTGCAAGATTTTCCAAATTAATGTGTCAAACGGGAAAAAAACGCCAAAATGTTTATATTGTTCATTTATCAGCCAAGCTGATAAAAAGAAAAAAAGGTTTTTAATCAAAATTTACAATGTTCTAAAAAAGAAGGAAAAATTTCAAAAAATATGTAAAAAATACTTTGATCTTTCCTCTAAAAAGTAACATAAGCATTTAGACGCGAAAATTTTGTTTTCTTCGACTTTGGCGTCTTTTTAATCATGCTATGCTCTTTTTTTAGCGATCCAATGGAGTTACCTAGGACAACATGAAAAGGGAAATTCGAAGTAGGACACATTAAGAGAAGCTGTAGTAATATCGGCAACTGAGATCATTCCAAAGGAAAATAGATGAAGAAAAAAAATGAATGGCCGACAGCTGAAATTCTCAATATAATAGAAAGGAAACAAAAAACAATGCTAAGACATGGAACAGAATATAGCACAGTACACAAAGAAATAAGGAATAAATGCAGGTAGGCTAAAGAAAGAGGAATGCTCAACGAAAAATGTTCAGAAATAGAAAGATTGAGTATCACAGATAAAGCAGATATGCATAAAAATGTAAGAGAAGTAACAGGACAAAAGACATGCTCATCAACAGGATGCATAAAATACTTCAGAGATGGAACTAAAATACTTTGCAGAAATCTTCCATGATAGACGAAAATAACTGACAATACACAGAAATATTGACGAACTGGAAATATTAAAATCTTAAGTGGACTGGTTAAATTGAAGAGTAACAAAGTGGCAGGGACAGAATTGCGATGCTGGTAACCTTAGATGATTTTGGCATTGACAAGATTATAGAAATAAATGAAATCTACAACTGTGGTGACATAACCTAAGAACCTTAGTAGCTCTATTTTCATAGCGCTCCCTAAGAAGCTAGGTGCAAACAAATGTGAACTCCATCAGATAATTAGCCTAATGAGCCATTTAACAAAACTTATCTGAATTCTGATGAAATATTAGATCAATAGAATTTTAATTAAAATTTTTTAAATGTATTGCAATAATTTAAATGTTTTAAGTTTTTATGTAGGTTTAAATTGCAAGAATACAAAGATGTACAAAAAAACAACTTTTGTGTACATAAAATAATTTTAAACATTTTTTTTTTCAGTATGTTCTTAAAAGTTCTAAATTTAACCTTCATATAACACCGTATTGATATGCTTATTAACACTTACTAGAGTTAATTAAAAATCTGTTTAAACTAAATACCTAAAGAGAATTGTTTAATTTAATGGTTACTTTCCTGGATTAGGAAAATTCAAAAATGTGACCTTTTTTATTTAAAATATATTAAATAATACATTTGTTTACAGCTAGTGTAGATACCTCCACAAGATCGCTAAAAAAAGAGCATAGCATGATGAAAAGGACTCCAAACTTGACGAAAACGCTGAAAAGATGTAATTTGAAAATAAAACAAAGCAGGTCATAAAATTTTATGTCACTTGACAGGTGATGAATGACATATTGATGGATTACGTGAGGATAATTCCTTCTATGGAAGGAGAGAAGTGAAGTTATTTACATTTAAGTGAACAAATTATTTACCTTGTTTTTAAGGAAAACTTTCAGCACTCTAATTTTTTTTTTGTACTTAGCTTTCACCTTTACATTTACGATGCTTTATGGAAAATATATTATAAATAAATTAAAATAAGACTGTTAAGAAGAGTGAGATTAAATTTCATAAGGTATCTAATTGATTTATAGGTACCTTTCTTATGAAATTTTATCAGAAGTGTACATAAAATGCTATAATTTTATGTACATTTACTACGTTTTACTGTGTTATTTGTATTTTGATTAATTTTGATTTTTCATTTATGGAAAAATGTCATAACTGAGATTAATATAAAAATAAGATCATATAAATTTCATAAGATGATAGTGATACTTGTAGGTACCCTTCTCAGTTGAAATTGAAAAATCAAATTAACTTCTCCATGTTTCGAAAAAGCAGAGAACAATGCTTAACTCGAATAACGCAACTTAATTCTATTCTGGTTGGTCTTTGGTACTTTATAATTACAGCCTAATTATAAACACAAAATTACATATCTTAATTACTTTGGGTCTTTCGATTAGTTAAAATGATACAATTTACAATATGCTAAAAAAAAGATCTATCTCATAAGGACACTTACACTTTTAATTAATTTTATAATATTTTAACAACTTAATTGTAAAAATCTATTATAATTAAAGAAATAACAAATAATTGTATTAAAAATTCATTTTTCATCGAAAAAAAATATTTTGCTTTCAGAAAACATTGTCCATATTCATAAAAACAACTAAAAGCAAATAAAAGCATTTGAAATTAAATAACTTCGTTTTATTGAGTTTTGTATATGTTACAATTCAGAGCTGATTTTCAGGTCCCCCCAATTAAAAGCAAAAAAAAAAAAAAAACATGATTTGCATTTCTCAAAGCCTTTTAACTATTGTAATCACTAAAGTGGACTCTATCGAATTTCTAGAGTTTTCATAAAATTAATTAGGGGTGGGTAATAAAAAATATTTCTGCCATGACTTTAAAAAAGGAAAACATATTTATAATAATTTCCATCATTTGTGATTAGTTTCTGAAAGTTTCATTAAAATCCAACAATTATTTTTATTTTTGCAAGGTTTTCCAAATTATTCTGTCATAAAAAAAAAAATGCTAAAATTTGCTGTTATTTAGTACTTCTACTGATACAAACAGAAACTTTTTTCTTTTTTTTTTTTATCAAGTTAGAAGATGCTAAAAAGAAGGAAAAATTTTAAAAAAATAATTGAAAAATATTTTGTTCTTTCCTCTTAATAATAACAAACATTTATTTTGATAAAATTTTGTTTTCATCTAATTTGGGGTCTTTTTCATCAATTTTTTTTTTTTTTTTTTTTGCAGTGATTTCATGGAGGATCCTACTCTAACTAAACACATATTTATAATTTTGTGTGCTTTTGGGGGAATGCAATTGATTTATAATACAATTTAAAAATTAACTTCAATGATTTAAATTAAATATATTTATTAAAATGCATTAGCATGGCTCTCCCTGCCTACTCCAATAATCTATTATGGTGAAATCATAACTGATGAAAAAATGTAGTGGGTGGGATTAAATAATAATGAATAAATATAATTCTTGATAAAATTCTGTTGAAGAATCAAAGAATTAGTTGACATGCTTTAAATTTAAAGGAAGGCATAAAAAAAAGTGTTAAATGTTTTTGTTATTGTTATATTTTTCTTTAATGTAAACAATTTTTTCACACACAAATCTGATTCTATATATGTATAAAAAAAATTTATAATTATTTTTCCAAGGAAGATTTTTTTTTCCCTCATTAGTGTCATCTTGTAATATATTTTTGTAAGGATGTTTATATCTAAGTTAATTATATGTTTGGGAATTGTTGATTGAGGAAAAGTTCTGTATTAGCTTGCCAACAGTTTAAAAGCAAGTATTGTCTAAATTTTATTTAAATATTTTAATAATTTTTCAGCTTGCTTGCATCCAAACACAATTAGCTATTGATGCTCTGAAGAGAGTTTGTAACAAGCAATTTGAAATGGGTGAGTTTAATTTTATTTTAATGTGAAACCTGTTTATTAAACACAAAATTGGTTCCTTCTAAATATATTAACGCTCTTGGTTATGAGATGCGGTTTTGTCTCTTGTTGATCATGTGATGAGTGTTAAGGCTGTGTATTGAAATACAGTTTTACCCAGTTGCATGTACATTCAAACATGTTTAAATTCTGTCATGTTAAAATGATCAGTTGCTAAAGGGAGGTAGTCTTGAAAGTTGTTTTTAAACCAGTAAATTTTTTTATAATGAAGTCATATTCCTAATTCTAAGTTTTATTTTATATTCTAAGTTACCCATCAACTGAATTGCAACGAAATGAAATAAACATCCTTAAACTCTATATACATTTTATTTCTTCCCTGCTTTTATATTTTGGCACTGTGCATTGATAATATTCTTATATATTTTTATGAGGTCTTTTAGTAAAATTTAGTTAGAAAAAAAATGTAAATGAACCAAATTGAAAGAAAACTGAATTAGTTTAAATAGTGCCTTTTTACATCATTCACCATAAATTTTATTGTTGTGAAAAAAAAAATCCAATTTTTTTTTTCTATTTAAAAGAAAAAAAATCAACAACCTGGTATCTTGATTAACATAAGTTATTGCAGACATGCTTTGTATTTTCTCATGAGTATATTCAGTGTTAACAAAATTGACAAAATGATGTGTCTTTGTAATATCTGGATGACATAGGTTATATGTAGATAGTATAATGCTTCAGAACCTATTGCTGCACAATTCACATGAGTAAATGTGCCAGTAACAACCTTCTCTTCACCAAATTGATTGTATATATTCTCTACAGCATAGTATTTTATCATTCTTGATTTTTCTTGAAGGTTTTGAAACATGCTATGCTAAGAGAAAATGCTTAGTGAGAACAAAAATGTTTCCATTGACTAATGACTTCTACTATAGCTCATGTTTCCTTCTCCGTTAAAGAATTCTTTTCCTTGGAATGTCCATGAATGAAAAGGAATAGGCCTCCACCTTGTCTCAAAGTGGCTACTGTTGCAAAATCTGATGCATCAGCTTGAACAGTAAGTGGAATATTCTAATTAATAGCTTGTATAAAAGCCTTAATTAAATTTTTCTTTCAAATTATTTCACATTGCTTCATTGAAGACTCGGTAACTGAAATCAGTAATTTCAATTTATCTGAAAAATAGCTTAATCATTTGGCATAATAAGCAAATGTACCAATAACTCTGTAATGAGGAAGTCTATCAGGATCTGGCTGTATTTTGTTGAGTTAGATTATCAGCTTTTAACACTTTCAGAAAGAACTTTAAATTACTAACTTTTCCCTTAATTTCCAGTTCCTCCAATCTGTTTCCTGGGATCTTCAGAATAGTTCTCAGTGTTCCAATAATGACTGGTAAGAATGTTACTTTTGTGTTCTGAAACTTCCTCACCTTTCTGGCAAGTTGAGCTACTTACCTTTTCATTTAACTTTCAGATCTACACTGTGGTTCTCCGAAACAGTGAAATCTATCATCTGATATGTTTTCTTCTTGTTTATGACAACCAGATACGTTTTTTCTGGTCTTGATTGGGTGATCTGTTTGAAACCCAGAGGATTTTATGTGCCTCATTCTCTAGGACAGACCCTGCTCAGGGCATATACCTATTTATATGTGTAGTTAAAATTTTCCTACTTGCACAGTTCCCAGTAGATTACCTTTCCCACCCATTCATGCCTATTTTTGTGTTCTTTCTGAACCAGCTTGCTACATTTGTTAATTTGGTGATTGACTCTCATCTTTATTGTCACACATGTATTGCTGTTCTGTTTTATCTATCTTTACATAGTTGATTCTTATGCTGGTGTTTCGAATTTCTATTAAAAGTATCTTGGTTTTTCTTACTCCTATGTAACAATGCCTATACTGATTTATGCCACTGCTTGTTCATCATTGTTATCTTTATTATTAAGTACCTGACTATTTTTGTTTATAAACCAAGATACTTTTCTATCTTTTCACTTTCTTTCACTTTATCTACTACAGTCTACCAGAACAACTAACACCAAATCCAAAATCCAATCTTCTGGACTAGATTGTATCAGGTCATCCCATAAGTTCTGTCCGAATTTTACCTTTTTTTAAAATGAACGAAATTTAAAGAGTATTTTATAATGTCTAATGGAGCTGAACATTATTTTTATGTTTAGATGCATTTAAATTGATCAAATTTTATTTCAGAGAACAAAAAAATTAAATTTTGTTTGATTAAAACCCTGCTAACATGGAAGTACCCAAGAATCATTTGAGGCACATAATGCTTTATGAGTTCAAGAAAGGAAACTCAGCAGCCAAACCGGCTAGAAACTTTCACTCAGTTTATGGGGAGGCATGTGTGAATGAAAGAACTTGCAGAAGATGGTTTTCAAAATTCAGAGGTGGAGATTTCACCCTTGAAGATGAAGATCAAACCGGACATTCAGTTGAGTTTGATGAAAAGCTTCTTGAAGCAGCCCTTGAAGAAAATCCTGCTTTATCAGTTGAGGAATTGGCAGTGGTTCTTGGTTCAAACCATACACTGTTCATCGTCATCTTCAACAACTTGGAAAAGTTCCTAAACTTGGAAAATGGGTGCCTCATGAATTGTCTGAAAAGAACCTCAAATGCCGAGTTGACATCTGCTCTTCTCTCCATTCTCACCAACTTGTTTCATCTTTTTTGGATAGACTTGTGACTGGCGACGAAAACTGGATCTTTTATCGAAATGTTAAGCATCGTAAACAGTGGCTTGGTAAAGGGGAAGGACCCCAGCCACAGCTGAGAAGGGAACTTCATGCACGAAAGGTTCTTCTTTCAATTTGGTGGGATCGCCAAGGAATAATCCACTTTGAATTCTTACCACCTAATGCAACAATTAATGCTCAAATATACTGTCAGCAATTAGAGCATTTGAACCAAGCTTTGAGGAAAAAAAGACCTGCTCTAGTGAATCGAAAAGAGGTGATGTTTCATCAGGACAATGCGCGACCACACAAAGCAAGAATCACGTCAAAAAAGATCAAAGAACTTGGTTGCGAGAAAATTCCTCATCCACCTTATTCTCCCAATCTTGCTCCTTCAGACTACCATTTGTTTGGTAGCTTACAGAATCATTTGGAAGAAACAGCTTTTGTAACACAGGAAGAGGTTAAAACTGATATTTGTGAGTTCTTCGAATCAAAGCCAAAAGAATTTTACAGTAATGGAATTAGTAAGCTTGTTAATAGATGGAAGGAAGTCATGTATAATCAGGGAAAATACATTGTTGATTGAATCTGTAATTAAATGTAACATTTGGTCACTTGTTTTCTTTATTCAAAATTCGGACAGAACTTATGGGATGACCTGATATATGTTTGAATCTCAAGATCCAAGGGGATTTTATGCGCTTCGTTCTCTAGGACAGGTATCGCTCTTTGCATATAACCATTGATCTGTGTGTGTAGTCGGAAATTACTTGCTTACAGTTCCCAGTAGATCGCCTTCTTCACCCAATCATGTCTATTCTTGTATTCCTTCTATCAGTTTGTTGCATTCATTGGTTCATAGTTCACTGTATTTCTTCACAAACTACATTAGCTGTTTCCCTGTGTTTTATGTTGGCTTTTATATTTTTATAACATTGTTTTTAGCTTTTATTAAGAGTGTCTGGGTTCTTCTCTTGAGATTTCTTCTATGTAGATTTCTCTGCTATTTCCTCAAGTTGCCTTCTGAAGTGTCCATATAATTAATTTTGTTCCTATTTTCAAATTTCTTTTTTGTATTTCCTGGGTTTCTGTTCATTCTTCGGGGTACCCCACAATAGAAAAAGCCCAGGTATATACGTTTCTGTTGTAAAGTTTACTTTTTAGAATTAAAGATGTTATTAAAAAGTTGAAAAAAATCATATTTATTTATTTTGTCACCTAATCAGAAGTTACAGCAACTTAAATTTGATGGAACGCTTCCAATGATAGATTTGACAAAAAAGTCACATTCATGCAATACTTTTAATGTAAATTTAAAACATGTTTACAGGAAAGAAAATGATTTCTTGTATTCCCAATAAGCAAAATATGTTTGTAAAATAGAAGAAATAATATTAACATAATATATTTTTTATTCTTGTAATAATTTGATATTTAATTTAAATAATAGTAAAAAACTGGCCAATGAAAATAGACATTTTCTGTTCATCCATGTTCTGTATTATCTAAATTGTTCTTTATAAAGAAACAAAATATTTGAAATTTTCAGTCATATCAAGAAATGTTTACTCATAGGTGCATTAATTTAATACCGCTAGAAAATGAATTTGTTCAAGGTATGAAAATTTAAAAAATTTTATTGAAAGAAAAATCCTTAATAATTCTTAACATATAAGAAAGCCAAATTTTGTAGTAATTTCTTCTTCTGCCATGCAAAGATCCTGCCGATACGAGCACATCATTGACCCAATCTTAAATAACAAAATCAATTCTGTTGTTTTGTATAAGGATGTAGGGATAAAACAGCCCCTATAAAAATAATTAATAACAATTTCCATTTAAAAATATCTGTGCATATGTCACCACATTCCCTTTTAGTACCGGATACTCATAAATATATCTGATAATATATTAAATGATGGGACTTTTCGTAAAATATAAACATAATCGAAATGACAAAAATTCTAAATATACTTAATACAGACATCCCTTGATTAATGCGCATTCGATTAATACGTTTTCAATTAGTGTACGAAAAATTTTATATACCAAAATTCGATTAGTGCATACATAATACTCGATTAATGCGGTAAAACATTCTTCAGTTTAACCATAATAATTGAAAGTTGATTTTTTTCATAGTTATACATTAGCCGCACTAATTGAGTGATTCCTGTAAAATGACAATACACTTTTTTTTAACTTTACTGCTTTTCATCATTTCAAGTTTTGTTTTTATCATGAAACAAATAGTCTAAATCACCAGTCTCCAAAGCATTGACTATTATTTA